TGCAAAAAACAAAAGGGCTATCCGCAAACGTCCGTGTCGTATAGCGTGCATAACCCTGTACATCAGCTGCAGGTATTAAATAAAACATTACATAAATTACAAAACATCTATTTCTTAAAGTCCCCATTCTGAACAATCTGATACAATTTGTATTTAAATAACTTATTTTAAAGAAGAAATCTACTTCTATCACAGTCATAAACAAAACTATAAATATGACAGATTTAGAACATTGAATAGGGAACAAATGTACTCCTCGTACTGGGTGAGAAGGGTAAGCTGTCATCCCATATGTACACCACCACATGCTCTTTCAACCTGTTGCAGATTGTTTGTACTGTGATCAATAACCTAAAAACCGAGCAATAAGCATTGATGCAAAAAAACTAGGAAAAATACACTTACTTTTATTGTACCCGTTGCTCTTGAAACCGCCACCGCCACCCCCACTAAACCGGGAATGCTGTTTCGGGCCGTTGTTCTCCCGGCCTTTGTAACCACCCCCATATCCCCATCTGCCTCTGCTGCCACCGCCATACCCTCCGGAGCGGGTAGCGATTTCTTCAAGTTTTGGGCTCACAACCTTAAAAAAAAAACATTCTATTAAAATCCGCATCAATTTGATGAAATGTAAACATCAGAAACTAATACTAAATGAAACTGTTGGGAAACTTGAGGATGGGATCCAGACTTTGATTGTGTGGACACCGAAGGCATATTTCCCTATTTAATCTTCCTCCCAATAGCATTCATGCTTTGCTGTGGAACGAAGCAAAGGCATGCCAATTTGAGAGGACTTGACTTGAAGCTAGCAAAAGCCGCAAAAATCACTTACTTGATTGGCTTCCTTTAATACTGAAACTAGATCTCTGGCTTGTTTGAAGTTGGACGGAGTGAAAAAGGCGTAAGACGTCCCAGTGGTGTCGGATCTGCCCGTCCTTCCTATCCTATGAATATAATCTTCTGAAGAGTTGGGGTAGTCATAGTTGACTACGTATCTGATTCCATCAACATCTAAACATCAATTACTAAGTCAGCCAACGTTCACATTAATCAACTCCAAAACCATTCATTCTCCAGTCAACATGATGTAGACCCAGCAATCAACAAAAAAATCGGAATGGTTTTGACAAAATCATCCCGAAATTCAATACATCTGAAGTGTTAGCAGCAAACATTCGTCTACCGTACAGCCACACTCAATAATAATACTTAGCACTTAAAATGAAATTATTAGTCAATAATAAAACTATCATGCTCAAAATAAAAACTAAATATACTAACCATGATCGAGATTTGTAACGAAAATCCTTGAAGTTGTGAATCGTGGATAGATTCGATTCGAGAGTAACATTGAAAAATTAGTAGCATATCTGCTTTTCTTGCTTTAGTGGACCCATAATGACTTAATAACATTGATGGTAAAAAAGGTGACCACTCAAACACTCCAGCAGATTTATGTATCTTGACCATAGGAAGATCAATAGTATTTTAAAGTTGACAGTTCCTCCGTTGCAATGGTTTCCTCCATTGCTTGGAGCAGGGAATCGGGATTATGGACATGTTAGGGTTAGGCAAGATCATAAAGGGATATTGTCTGGTTTAAGAGCGTTACTATTGTCGGTGTCAAAAGCTGACACCAAAATCTTCCACCGGTCTAATAGAGGCACCCGCAAGACAATATTGCATCCTTAACTTTCATTAGAACACAACACTGGCATATTTTTAGCTCATTAAATAGGGCTAAATCAATGGCTATCCTGCTTGTGCCTCTGAAACAAAAAGGATAACCAGACTGATTAATATAGGTGTAAACCAACGATCTGCTTATTAATAGTGACAATGCAATCTCAACAAATCAGCTTCACCTTTCGTACCAATTGCATAATGAAAAACGAAACAAAAAGCGTATAAATGTGCGTAATTGAAATCTTGCAATTACCGGTGACCAGCCCCCGCCCGCCCTTGTGTAAAAAACACCAGTCTGGAAAATCCCCAATGAATGCTACTAAAATCTTTAACCCTGGCTCCCAACATAACGTAAACATCAACCCACTTGGTTTTCCTCAAAACTTGCTTAGATCAAGTTGACCTTAAATTGAGAAGCCAGGCATTGGCAAATAATATTGCTCAAAGTACTCAATGAATCTTGCAATCACAATTTGAAACTTAGGATCTCGAATCAATCGACCAATTCAAGGAGCGCGTTTTGAAACTTACCGAGCCCTCTAGCTGCAACGTCTGTGGCCACCAAAATTGTGGCTTTTCCATTTCTAAATTCCTTCAGCACGTAGTCTCGTTCTTGCTGGCTCTTGTCTCCATGCATAGCGACGGCAGGCCAACCAAATCGTCTAATTGTACGCGTAATTGCCTCCACTTTTTTCTTGGTTTCGACGAAAATTATGATTTTCGAGTCTGGTTCCCCGTTCGTTCCAATTTCTTGCAGTAAGTTATTTAACCTGAAAATAACGTTTCACATTACACCCATCGCATGATCAGTAATGAAAGGCCAACTTACTTATTTTCCTTCTCGTGTTCTTGGCAAACATCCACAATTTGCAGAATATTGTGATTGGCTGAGAGTTCCAGAGATCCAACATTCAATTGAATATACGTATTCATAAAGTCAGCCGCCAGTTTTTTCACCTCCTTGGGCCACGTGGCGGACCACATAAGCGTTTGTCTGTCAGGCCTGATTTGGCTGATAATCTTCCTGATTTGGGGCTCAAAGCCCATATCCAACATTCTGTCGGCTTCATCCAGAACAAGATAAGTGCACCTTTCCAAATTGGTGGTGCCCCTCTCTAAGAAGTCAATCAATCGTCCGGGAGTCGCAATGCAAATCTCAACGCCACGTTCCAAGTCTCTGGCTTGTGGTCCTTTGGGGGCACCCCCAAACACGCAGCAATTGCGAATATGTGAGGATTTACCGAAATCGTTCGCCACTTGCTGGATTTGCTGGGCCAATTCTCTGGTCGGAGCCAAAACAAGAGCAACTGGACCGTCACCACGCTGAACTTCGGGCTGGTTGTTAATGTGGACAATGGCTGGTAGAATGTAGGCCAAAGTTTTGCCTGTAAAAAAACAGAAGCATGTCAACTATCTGCCTGGGATGCACTGGAATACCATCCAGTAGTTTGGTTGGATCAGCTCTTCTTAGAGGTAAATGGGTGCATATAATAATCACAGCTTGTTCATTTAACGTGTCTCATCATGAATTTGTTTGTAAGTAAAAAAAGTTCGGTGTTATAATACGAAAATCTCCTTACCTGAACCGGTTTGGGCGACGCCAACCATATCGTTTCCGCTCATTGCAATAGGCCAGCCCTGAGCCTGAATGGAAGTAGGATACTCATATCCTTGCGCTACAATCGCATCCATTACATAATCAGGGAAACTAGCTTCATGGAAATTCTGGATCGGCTTTGGGGCTTCGCCTTCCACAGTGATCTGCTTGGCCAAACGGAACTGTTCGACCTCGTAGTCAGACCTGGCCTTGATGATATCATGTTCGACGTAGAAATCTTTTTTGAACGGTCGCAGTTGTTTGTTGCCCCATTCTACTGGGCGCATACGACCTCCAGCTCCACTAGACTTCCCATAACCTCCACCTCCGCCTTGACTGCCCCAGCTGTTGCCACTCCGTTGGCCGTAGCCACCACCACTACTTCCATTTCTTTGGCCATAACCGCTTTTGCTTCCTCCATTCTGGTAGCTACTCTGACGGCTTTTGTAACCGTTACTATCTCCTTGACGGCTTCCGTAAGACCTGAAACAATTGAAGAGAACAAAGTTGAAAATACAGCTAAAGATAATCAGTTTGCCCAAGTTATTGATCATCGGTGACGCCGTAATAAACTCTAATCAAAAGAAAATATTTTTTACCGGTAATTTGAAATATTTATTTTCGTTTCCTTGGAGGATCGTGCACTTTACATTTGGCGGATTTCGGAGCTCTTTTTAATTTTTCCAGAAAGTACACTTAAAATATCACATGCAGAAAAACAAATTCGGATAATCCATAAAATCATGCTAGAAAACATTTACAAACTGACATATTTATACATAAATAAATGGAATAGTATACGTTCGTGTGGGTGCTGGAAGTTTGGGCTAGCCCAGACTACCCACTATTAATGTTGTAAGGTTTAAAGATGCGTTGAATTTGGCGTAGTGTAGATTTATTGCTCATTTTTAATTAATTTATTTGATTTCGCCTTAGCAACAGATTTCAGTTATTTAAAGAAAATGTCTATTCTCGGAGTGCCAGTATAAATAATAATTATTATGGGTTAAATAAGTGGCAACATTGGTTTCTGTTTATTTCTGAAGTCCAATTCATCAGCATGCTATTAACGTGCAACAGTCCATGCAACGCCGCATAAAATAAGAAGAGAAGACGTGATGAACATAACCGCAACCAATCATGAGGTTTGAAATAGATCCCAAAATTTGGCAAAAACTTGATTGCATTATTGAATCATGGAATGTTAGCCATTAAAACATTATTTTAACAGTAAACAGCAAGGCAATCGCATTTTCAACAATAAATACCGGGTCGTTTGGACATGACGTGCTTTCTTATTATTTTGCAATTTATGGACAATCAGCATTTTTTTGGACGGAAAAAGAACGAAGAAACCCTCCAGATATAGTGCATGATCAGTTTTCTTGCTTGTTTCTAAAAAATCTTCAAAGATTAGGGTGCATTTCTGCCACGACCATTTTCAGTACATTTTTTCAGCAAACAAAACAAACTACAAATTTTCAACAATTTCGTAAAAAATAGTAGAGTAAACCACGCGGTTTTGAAACTGTACCGAAAATTAATCAAGAAAAAGAAAAGCCTAAAAATGAAGCACCAGGTTTGAAGATAAAGCGGCCTTTAACAAAAACACGTGTTTCAAATTCCAAGGATTTGGATCATCTTTTTCAGTACTATAAAACAAGATTTCAATTACCAGTTCGTTTCGAATGGCGAAAGTGAATTGCAAAAACTGCCGCGACCGAATTTTCGCGAATGGCTGGGCCTTGAAAATGGCGTCATTGCACTCGACAGACGCCTCGGCCTTTTGCTGCCATGCGGAAATTACGTTTTCACAATAAAACATATCAAAGCTTTAAAACACGCGCCCCAATGAATCTGATTCAGGGCAAATCCGGGTGGACTCCTACTAAATAACGAAGAATTTTCGAAACAGGGAGGACGCCGGAAAACCACACCACCACGTTGGAGTTCCAACATGGCGGCCATTAATCAATATGCAAAATGCCGCATTTAAAACACTTTCATGTAAACGCTATCGAAACGAATTACTTTAGAACGGAATTGAGCATCATTTGAACCTACAAAGCACATCATGTTCTTAATTTCCTAAAAAAATAACGATAAAATACTTACATTTTGGCTATGTTTGGCAGATCGAGCTTTCTAGTAATGTGCAAATTGGAAATAGCGCTGCAGATGGATGCACAAGAAGAACCAAATGGCCTAGCAATAAAACGGAACATTTTATAAAATCTTGCAACAGGCTTGGGGAGAGAGTGGAGATGAAGTGGACTTACCTCTACAACGTCTAGTAGAAAACAAGGACGAAGGAAGGGACTTTTCATTTGTCGAGCCCCGAAGTTGGTGTGGCAGAAGTGGTAGGGATAGAATCCGCCCAATCAGGGGCCGTGTTGCAATGCGGCAAACTTTTAGAGAGAAACAGACGGATCGCTTCTTTCGCTGCAGACAAAGCGCGCTGCTGTTGCTGATAGTCGGCCACCAGATAGCGTAACTTCCGTTTGCATCCCGCGAAAATTTGAAAATGTTTTCCTGCGCACCCACTGTTGGCGCACTTTCTTTATTGAAAGCTTCTGAGTACTGGGGATTTTAATGAGAAATACTGCAATTTTGGTCCTTGTCAGGTATCGTCCATTGTAACTCTCTAACGGGATTATTATCTAACAGGGCCAAACAGGTAAATTTTCTTTGCGTTGGCCTTACCCAAATGTAGCATTTTTCGTTGAAGCCAAACTTTTTATACGATATACCTATTATTACTTTGGTATTAAATTATATATACATATTATATTATTTGGATTATGTATTAAAGTAATGGTAAGTAAAATAGATATATGGGTATAAACCGTTTGCTCAGTCGGTAATACAGACATCCCTCTCGGGATGTTCTCTCGTCAAAGGCACGCGCATTAAGAATTTCCGTTCTTCGTTTCGGCTACATTGCGTGGTTTGGGATACAAGGTAGGATTTTTATTAATTTTTGAAGTATTTTAAGGCCATACTTGTTGCAAATTAAAAAACAGTCTTGCGATTTACCAAGCGGTTTTTAAACTCACACGTCAAAGATTAATCACTTGGTGATTGCTCGTTTTATTCTATTATAGTTTGAACTTTCGTCCGCCATTTGGAAATCATCTCCTGGTTTCTCAACTAGTAACATGCAGTACAATAACGTTTATCATAATTCTCAAATGTAAGTATAGCTTTACTTGCGAATTTATTCCTTTTATGGGTAGTTTTGTAAGGGCTTGTTTTGGGGCCCTCAATGGCTTTTGCTGAAACTACTTTATGCTACAGCTGCATGTTACAATTTCCTGCCTGCGAAACAATGCTTTGCTTGTGTAAGACATTAATGCATATTGATAAATAATAAAATTTTATTGTTATAAATATTAAAATTTACGAATAAATTCTAAACAAGCCACACAACAGGCATAAAAGTCGTATATGCAAAGTTCGGTGGCCATCTAAATCTAATTTAAACAGTAGCAACACAAATCTCGTAAACTTGTAAAATCTATTGAAGACCGTTTCAATAGGCACCGCCCTCGATCTCACAAAAGAAAACGTTGCGGTCAGCGGCTTTGTTCTAACTTCCGGGAAAAAAAGAGCTCCAGCCAATCTAGGGAGGAAATATTTGAACAAATGAACGAAATCATTGTACAGCACTATTATTAGTGCCTGTTTAAATTCAACTTCTTTCGCATCAACAACAATTACTGTTATATTTTTTCAGATATTTTGCTTCTAAACTTTTTCAACCAGAATTTCAACATTCAAACAATGCGACTAAGCTCAAACTTTTTTTTGTGATATCGGACAGAAGCTGAGAAAAATTTTGAAAAACTCCAACGTTTAGTGGGCAATTAACGCTCTTTGTGCGTTTACTTGCAACAAACAATCCACACAAATGCTCAGTTCGGAAAAAAATGCATCAACAAATTTGATAATTTTTGGAGAAAGGCGCTAGTCGCAAATAACGCAGTTTCCAGATTTCCGAATGAAAACTTTTATCGTCCTGAACCCGTATGAAAAAAACCCATATGAAAAAAATTTTGATGATTTCCGATGCTGCTCGTTTAATTACTCATAGTATACAAACAATTTTGTGCAGTTCTAATGTTTTTTTGCGAGAAATCAATTTTCTTTATACGCGCTTTTTTCGTCAATTTTAGGGATTTTTACCCAAACTTTTCAAAGGCGTATTAACGTAGAATCCATTTGAAAATACTGTATTTAAAGCTGGATTACCGTACCAGAGATTCATTCTCGAGGCCTTCAATTTATGAGGGTCGAGGACTTGGCTGGCGACAAAATAAAATAAAAAACGAAAAAGGGTCTCCCATAGTGTGACATATTGGCTTCCTTCGAATGTCTAACAGGCCAAGTAGGCCTCCATTATCACCTATGTGTTAATTGCTTCTTTACAGACTTTCAAAAGCATTGAGTCTTGGTTCACTTGGCCTTGGGTCAGAGCTTAGCTGTGTGGAAAAGGGGCAACAAATAGTGCTTGAGATAAAATTTCTAGATGGTGGCAAATAAAACAATGCAAAATACGAAATTTATAGTAGGGAGAACAATAGATTGATAGAATTTTTTAGAACTATTTGCTCCTAGTCTATAAATATTTTTCTTATTTTGCATTGTTTCATTTGCCACAGTCAAGAAATGTTATCTCAAGCCCTATTTGTTTGGGTGCTAAGGCGTCGAGGGAAAAATATTTTGCACTAAATAGCGCTTCAAACATGAATCATCAATTCGATCTAAACAGCCAGAATTTCTATTCCAACGTTGTCAGTGTAACGTTGGTTTTGTTGAACACGAACACGAAAATGGCTGAACCCGACTAGCCAAATAATGTTAATACATAATCAGAATTTCTTACGACATTAACGTTATTTTTATTAAACCCGAGATTAATCGGTTAGTGTCGCCATTAGCCAAATCGGAAGATTAATCGTAACTAGAAACTGAAAAACTTACCAGCAACGTGGTCGGTACTGAAGTCGGCACTTATTCCAAACGAAAACAGAACCCGTCGGAAAACGACAACCAGAGGAAAGGCAGAACAACTCGTAACAGTAATCATCCAAAGTTTGGCCAATTTTGTTAAGTGTTATTACACAAAATGCGTTTTTCACGTGTCACCCACAACCGCCTCAAGCTAAGCCTGTGTAAGTCCCTAATGGTGACGCCCAGGGGCGGATCCAGCTTTAAATTCAGGGGGGGTTGTGTAGAAATAATACTGCTGGCTGGATGATTCCAAATTAAATAAAATAAGAAATAAATTCCTAAATTAAAAAGAAATTCCAATTAAAAAACCTTCGAGCGCACCTCTTTAGTCTTGTTCAATCACCCACACTCTTAACATTACACCACATTTTAACACTAATTTTTCATAAAATTAATCTACTTGAACACTCACATGCAGGGGCGGATCCAGCTTTAAAGTCAAGGGGGAGGTTATGTAGAAAAAATACAGTCTGCTGTTGTCTATGAAATTAGAAAAATTATCGTCGTTTTATGCAAGGGTGACGTAAGATTATTGCAAAATTTCATGTTTTCCGTCCCGTTTTGCATGTTTCTCGGAAGCAAAATGAGCAAAAACGCCCGTTTTTACATCATTCCAAAGAGAACTAAATGGCCTTTTTAGAAAGTGAACCATCGATAAGGATATGTTGCAGTTTTCTCAAAAAATGCTTGAATTTGACCTCATGGTCAACGTCATCGTTGCTCTTTTCGAAGTTTCTCAGGAGTTTCTCAAAAGCCACAGCATTCGTTTTGGCATCAGGATAGAGAATTGAAAACTCGATTCAGTCGTAACAACGTAAGTGAGGAAATTCGAGTAGTTTTGACCCAGAAAGCGAAATTTTAATATCAAACAATTAGGTTCAAGATTATGCCAAAATTTCATGTTTTTCGGCCCGTTTTTGCTCATATCTCGGAGGCAAAATGAGCAAGAACGCTCATGTGTAAAAAAATAAAAGTAAGCAATAAGCTGTTGAAGTGGCCGCTTCTAGCAATTGAAATAGTGTTTTTTCTGCTTTGGAAACTGTTCCTTAATCCACAGATGGCTTATTGCAAAAGCGGCTGATTGGTCGATTTTGGAAAAATTTCATAGTTTCCAAATCAGCTCATGTGTGATTTTCTAATGAAAAATCTAAATAGAGTGATTTGTTTAGGTACCGAGCCCGACCTGATCGCAATGAACAACAATTTGGAAAACAAGCGAATTACTGGAATGGTCCGCCTCAGCAACATGCGATCGCCCCAGTGCAAGATTTCGGCGGTCCAAACATCAGACAGTTCAACAATCGAAAGTTCAACAATAGGAATTATAACAACTACTACAACCAGCAGATGGAAGGCGAACACGAAACCGATGATAGACAGACTGTACCATCATGGGAAGCCGAACTGGTAAGTGGTCAGATGTGTTCACCTTGCTTACCTTTTTCTAACAGTTTAGTTATTTGTGGTCCTCGATCCTCTTGAAAGTATAATGCCACAACCTTCCCAATCATCCCATGACACTTTCTGACCTATTTTCTTAGGAACCCTTCAAAAAAGATTTCTATGTTCCACACCAGAATACCCAAAGTAGGACGCCGGAGGACATCGAGAAATACCGAGAGATGAAGGACATCATTGTCAGGGGAGAAAATGTGCCTCAGCCAAATGTAAATTTTGAGGAAACCAACTTTCCAGAATATATTTTGCAAGTGTTGATGTCGCAAGGTTTCGAAGATCCCACTGCCATTCAGGCGCAGGGTTGGCCGGTGGTTTTAAGTGGACGAGATTTAGTAGGTAATTTCATCACGTGTTTCTCTCATCTCAAGACTGTCCTATTTGAGATTTGCTTGATTTTTTGCAGGTATTGCCCAGACTGGTTCTGGAAAGACATTGGCATACATGCTGCCGGCAACGGTCCACATTAATCATCAGCAAAGACCGCAACGAGGAGAAGGCCCCATTGCTTTGATTCTTGCCCCAACCAGGTAATTATTGAAACAAGCACATGTATTTGGTTGCGTCACCGTCCAAAAAATTTATGTATTTATTGGCTGAACATCAGTCAAACTTGTTGATTTTCCTTAGGGAGCTGGCCCAGCAAATTCAAAAAGTTGCCCACGAATTCGGATCGAACACCATGATTCGCAACACTTGTATTTTCGGGGGGTCGCCGAAAGGACCGCAAGCACGAGATTTGGAACGGGGTGTTGAAATCGTAATTGCAACTCCGGGCCGATTGATTGATTTCTTGGAGAAAGGGACTACCAATCTGGGGCGCTGCACTTATTTGGTCCTCGACGAAGCTGACAGGATGTTAGACATGGGATTCGAGCCTCAAATACGCAAGATCATTCAGCAAATCAGGCCCGATCGGCAAGTTCTTATGTGGTCGGCTACATGGCCCAAACAAGTGCAAGCCTTAGCTGAAGAGTTCCTGGTTGACTATATTCAGGTACATGAATTTATATACTTTTCTTTATTTAAGGTGATTTTTAAATGCGGAATGTTCTCAGGTGAATATTGGTGGCTTGTCATTATCAGCAAATCACAATATCAAGCAAGTGGTCGAAGTGTGCGAAGAACCTGACAAAGAGGACAAACTCAATGCTCTCTTAAAGCAGATCGCTTCAGATCGCAACAACAAAATTATTGTGTTTGTTGAAACCAAGAAGAAAGTTGATGAAATCACCAAAGCAGTTAAATCTGTAGGTAAGAAAACATATACATACTTCCGTATTTTCCGAGCAGATAGTTACAGTGCTAATTTACTAGGGTTTTCCGCAATTTGCATCCACGGAGACAAATCTCAACCTGAGCGCGATTACGTATTGAACGAATTCAGAAGCGGAAAATTTTCGATTTTGGTCGCGACTGATGTGGCTGCTCGAGGATTAGACGTTGAAGATGTCAAGTATGTGATCAATTACGATTATCCAAACTCCAGTGAGGACTACGTTCATCGCATTGGTACGATTTAGATACAGGCATGGAAATCGGAGCAATTGATCAAATTTTCTTGTTATTTTTAGGTCGAACTGGCCGCTGCCAACAAGCCGGTACTGCCTACACCTTCTTCACCTCCAACAATCAAAGGCAAGCGAAAGACCTGATTTCGGTGTTGGAAGAAGCAGAACAGAACGTTCCCTCAAAACTACAAGAACTCGCGCAAAGCTCGAGGAACATTCAAACTGGACGTAATCGCTGGGGTCAGCGAAACAAGGTTAATAATTTTAAACAAAATAGCTATTTCAATGTAAGTATCTCAATATCTGGTTCTATTGGTGCACGAAGAATTGTTTGTTCGGCGTCCAGTGTGTTTCTCATCAGGCACTGCTTCGATTAGTTTGGAAATTAGATTATTTCCTTTGCTGAGCAGTTCCTGATGCGGCACGCTATGTGTGTTATGTGAAAAACTAACCGTTCGCGATTGTCAATGGGGTCCGATGCGATATCAAACTAATGGCCTGAAAGTGTTGATGTTGCAACTAAACATTTTGCTTGGTGTGCATACAATTCAGCTGATATTTCTCATTACGACGAGTTGAAGATAGTTTAATTGAAATGGTACATTTCCGTTCGAGTCTTCCCGGCATAACGGTAATTCTTTAGTGTTTGATTGCAGGATAACGTATCGCCCAACTCGAATAACAACGGAAATCGGGGCTGGCAAAAGAAGCCACAAAACAACTATGCCGCAATGGAATTCTATGGCAACAGACAGGCTATGGGTGGGTCTCCAAAGAATGGACCTCAGATGAGAGACGGCTACCAGCAAAAGCCGCGATACAATAACGGCGGCTTTAACCAATACCAGAACTCGCAGCAGTTCCAAAATCCCCAAGCTTATCAGCAGAGTTACAGTCCTCCTTTGTATGGGCAAGGCCAGATGAACGGCCAAGCTAGGGGCAATTATGGTAAGTCGAGACTTACTAATAGGTTAAATGGTAGATTTTGCCACCTATTAGAGCCTGCTTGAAGACATTTTTATTCTGGCAGGTGTCGGAATGGTGGCACATTAAAAGAACATTCCCTTGACTGAGTTTAGTAACACTTTTTACTCAAAGCAACGAAATGTTCGACAATTTTTATTGTTTGATTTGTGCGACCTCCGTGCTCTTAGCGTAAATATAGTAATTAAATTCCTAACATTAGGTCAAGGAAATCAGCGAAATTTCAACCAACGCTTCAACCATCGTCAACAGTACCAGAATGCCATGCAATCGGCATCATACGTTCCCGCAGGAAACACTCCGGCTTACATGGTTCCGGCACCAGCCACTTCTGGTGTGCCGGATGGGCTGCAATCTATAATCAGCCATAAATTTTTCCAAAGCCGAGGTTTAACAGGTGCGGCAAATCCTTGTGCTTTCCAACAAAACCAAGGTGGTCCTTATGGACAGTATCCGGCAGTTAGTTATCCCGCTTACGCTCCCCAATATGCGGCGCCTCCTACTGCCACTGTTCAACAGTAGTGGTGCATCAAATGGGCAAAAATTAATTTCAAATGGGTCGTCAAGTATGAAAAGTCTTTGACCTAACGCTGTTCATTTTTTTCATTCTTTTGCAGAGGGAAAAGCAAATTTTAAGTGATCTGAAACTCGTGTGTGAAACACCTCAAGCCGATGAGTGCTTGCAGTGTTTTATTTTATTAACGAAAAAGTCCAGTGTTTGGCTGTTTGAATAACCGTCAACTAAACATGGGTCTTGGTAAAAATAATTATTCAAAACATATTTGGTGTTAGTATTAGCTCTTCTCAGTATTGTCCAGGTGAATATAATTGCCAGTTGATAGCATATTGTTCCTTTCAATGAATGTGGGATTGATGCAGAGCTACTATGTGGATTTGCTTGATGCAGAGCTACCACATCTGATCAATAAGTTCGATGTAGATCTTCAGTTCATACAAACGGCGCCCATTTTAATTACTTATGCTTTTAGAATGTATTTCAATTTAATTTTTGCTTGCGGTTTATTTTTTTTTTGCTTTAAGAACGGTATTTCGTATGTCTAAGTTGAATGTTAACAGTTTATCAAAGAACTCAATACTTCGGATGCCTGTAGGACTAATGTCTCCTAATATTTCACAAAGGAGGTTGTACTTTTACATCATTCCATCTGTTTTTCGACTTTTGCAGCTAAGCGAATGCTCAATGCCAGCTCCTCGCTCTAGCAATCTTTGATATAATTCCAACGTTTAACATTTCTCTCTTATATAGAAAATTCCAGTTTATTTCTTTAATCATTTGCTACCCGGATCATTTGGGATTTTGGAATAAGACTTTAAGGCTAATTAACTGTTTCCTTAATTAGGAAATGAACTGGAATTTGATTAATGTGTGAGTTAGATGTAGTTAACTTTCTGTATGCCACTGAAATGCACGAAACATATAGAAGGGGAGTTTCGGCTATTTTATTATATAGTATTTAAAAATGATACATAATATTATATTGATGCTATGCGGTGCTAATAACGTACCAGGATCCTAGTGAAATGACTCAAGCAGGACTAAATCGCAGTATTCACTTATCTAATGATTTCTACTTAACGGTCGATATCGTTTTATGTTAATTAGGTAGCAAAATTACTTCTCTAAGTTCTCTTTTAAATTGAACTACAAAAATCGATTTTAGTCATTTTCCAAGCAGTTCAGCAAATTAACCAGGAAAATTTGTGATTATTGTTATTAGATGTCAGGTGGAACGTAAAACTATTTATCAAAACCAACAAATAACTATGCTGACTGTCCGGAATTAGTCAAAGAGTGATAGACATTTTTTTTAAGAGATTTTTTATTTATTTTTTTTACAAATTTTTATCATTTTTGGGTTGCTTATTCGTTAGTCTTTACCTAAAACTGTTTTTATATTCCTTGTTTTGTTTCTATTAAACTCTACAATACTTTATTTATGGATACAATACATTTTGTCGCAATGCTAGGTTTGTAATGGTTTTCTCGAATCACTGATAATCCGGGAGTTTGCTCGTTAATCTTTTTGGAACGGGATAAAAAGAGGATCTTCAGAACTGCTAGTGTCGTGTAAATATATGTAGTTTTAAGTATTTAATATCTCGTTTGTCGTTTGTAGGCGTGGTGCTAAATTAGCTCGCAATCATGTAAATCTAGCCGTTTTCTTGGTATGGAGGTATCAACCATTGAAACATGTACTTCGTCCGGTTCTCTTGAAACGCGTTAGGTTTTGCCATTAGCAATTAGCTCACGGTGTCATCTGTGATATCTTAGTGAGTAAAGGTAGCAAAGAATAATAATATTAACTGTTCCGAGTAACAAAGAGGGCGTTACATTTTTTTAACAATTTAAACAAAACTTGTGATATTTATTCCCAATCGAAGACTGACTTAACTATTTACTAGACATATACCATTTTTAATTGCTGTATCGAATTGTTTTGTTTACACAGCATACTGTCCTGTGGGCCAGACTTTTGGGTATTGACGTGGTTTCATACAGCTCAAAGGGTGAATAATTTAATTGCATCAGTCAGGGTAAAAAAGATACAAAAGTACATTATATTTTGAGAGATAATGTCTACATAGTTAGGAAGTTAGGGTTGTCGTTTTTTGGCCTATAGACTATCGTATTGTAAAAGAATATTAAAGTTTTAACGTACCTCATCTTCGGACTTGCGTGCATCAAAAATGGTTCACATTCACATGCACCCAGACAAGTTATTTCATTATTCTGTGATGTTATCGATCAGCGCCATTGCGTCGTAACGATTAACGATTTTCCATGTATGTGATTTATTTCATTTATTTAAAGGCATATTTTGATAATTTCAAATAGTACCTTAAAACCAAAATAATATACGAAATCGTAAATATGTTTAAAACAGCCACTCCTGATCTTATATCTGAAGAATCGATCAGCTGTTTTGGGTCTCAATAGTGACTCAGACCTGTTTATGTTACTGAAAAAACCGGAGTTTCCACTCTGAGTGAGATACGTGATATAAGTTTTATCAAAGATACTCTTCTGTAAGTTTCAATAGAAGTGCATTTCTTGTATGTAATACAGTATTATACTAACCTAGACATGTAAATTAAAACTTAATTTTTCGTTTAGATTGTTTTGTTATTTTATTTTTAAATTTTGATGTAGAATGGACATTCTCAACCATTCAATAAAAATAAACTGCTAATTTATGATAAGACGTCCGTTATTTTCCCAACACATAAAGTCCACCTAGACGTTGACTTCATTTAATTTATGCAATCAAATAAAATAAACTGCCCAATTTTCTCATGTTTTGGTGCTGGTCTCCTCGGGCTTTGGTTCCCCTTCTTCCAGAAACTTGTCCCAACCTTCCAGTCGCTGGCTGATTTGTGAATCAGTCTCCGACATTTTGTACTTGGTTTTTCCATCATGAATCTCCGCTTTCAGTTGCCGTTTCATAAACCAGCGCCCGTTTAGTCTGGCCACTACTTGGTCTGCTTCTTCGGGCGATGCCATGTTGATCTGAGCGACGCCTTCTGGATGCCGATCGTAGAGCATCACTTTGCGGACTTCGCCTATTTTGCCTGCCTCCTCGCGCAAATCTTCCTGGAATTCCAAAATGAGGCTGACGTCCTTATCGAATATCGTCGGATCGAACAGGTTTTTTATGATCACGATTCTTTCGTGTTTAGCGCGGTCTCCTTCCTTCTTTTCCGGCCGCCAATCGAACAGTTTATCCTGCTGTTTTTTCAACTTTTGCTTGTCCTTTCGCTTCTTCATTTTGGGCTTCAGCTTGGGATCAAACTCGCCCTTGAGCTGGAACTTGGCTCGTTCCACCTTGACTTTATGGTCTTTGTAGATGTAGCCGTCCAGCAATTTCAACGCCAAAGCGACTGATTCGATCCGAATGTACGTGCAGAGCGCGTCTCCTTTTAGCTGTCCAGTGCCGCGTTCTCGATAGAGTTTCACTTTGAAGTTGCCCGTAACTGGATCTCGCATCACCAGGCCACACTTTTGCATAAAGTCCACAAACTCTTGCTCTTCAATGTCCAAAGGCAAATTCGATACGTAGACGTTGGTGTTTTGCTTCTCGTCCACCTCGAACCATGTGGGTTCCGAGGCTTTTCTTTTCTCCCCCTTGGGCTTGGCAGTTTCGGCCGTTTCCTCCGGCGTGGGTTCGGGTTTTTCAGGACTCTTCGGGGCCTCAGTGAACCCGTACGACATCTGATAAATGGCCATAAATTCATCATCAATCCGGGGAAACCAGGCCTTCTTTGCCTTGTCCCAAAACAGCTTCGTACCATCAGTGTCTGTGTAAACATGTGTTTCATCTTCATAGTCATACGTGACTTTCGGCTTGCTCATCCACTCGCTCTTTTCAGCGTTCCATTGGTATTGATACCCTGTTTCCTTGTCTGTATAGATGGCTACATCCCCTTCATAGTGCACACTTTCGGGGTCGCATTGAGGCTCCTGCGGAGCAGATGAGCTTTGTGCAGCTTCTGGTTCTTTCGGGCTACTGTCCAGAACTGCGCTCGAACCCGTTGAAGTGGTAGTTTCGTTACGTTTCGCGCTGTTTACGTCCAAATGTTCGGCTGACGAAAGACTGGGGCCCACCAGTGGCGTTTGTTCGGTAGACGTGTTTTCTGCAGCTGTTTCCACTTGATGTAGTTCCATCTTTTCATCTGCATTCCCAATGCTTTTCATGTAGTATCAACGAACACTAATATGGGGCCCCTTGACAGCAATAACAATACTCTTGAGCACTCTAACATTAAACGGACATAACCACATATTTCACTGGTGGAAGTAACCTGAAAACATATTCTTCTTCTCTCTACCAGCTCGTTGCGGAAGTGGTCCAGTACGTCGGGCCTGTGCCCCTCAACCTCTATAGCTGTACAAGTACTGTATATAATATTATATTGTTGTAAATTCCTTTGGATCTCTTCAGAGTCCTTTCCTTGCAACCAAAACCATCCAAAAAGGTTTATCATCTACAGATCACAGAGTGATAACCTGTCTTTATCTATGGCGATCAATCGCTTCCTTAGTAGAAGGGAAGCAATAATGTTGAACTAGAAAGCCACTACAAAATACATGTTGTTAAAAACCATCAAACAAGACGAAAAAAATCACATCACAACTCAAAGCAGTAGAAATGAGGTGCCAACCTTACAATTTGCTTGATTGGTTTTCGCGTGGTTTCCAACTGTTAAACATTTCGAAAAACCGTGCCTAAAAATTGTTGCTCGGCTAATTTGACCGGTTAATATTAAGCAACACTCTAGTTAGACCAACCAGCCTACTGCTGATAGGTTAAGCAACTGCTTAACATGTAAGTTAATTAAATAAATCTGTTAGAATGGTGAATCTGACGGGGGAAGAGACTGAAAAGTCTGAAGACCTAACGCAGGTCTCCGAAACAAGACACAGCTTTGCAAATTCCTCTCAAAAGTAAGTCCCACTGAATTCACGTTTAAACTGTTTAAAATCCGGGCGATTAGCGCTAGAAAGATCAGTTTTCGACGATTTCGTATTGCTTATTTGCAGATCAATAGTGCAGTTAAATAACGTTTGCCAAAGGTTGATGCAGCCCACCTCGATAGGGATTCGAAGACGAAGCAGTAAAAATGGCAATTTCAAAGCCAGAAAATTGTCTCAGGCAGGCTCCAATCCGTTTGCCGCTCACTCACATAGCCAAAGGTACCTTGTTAGCTTTAACCGAACCATAATCAAATCTGTAATGCTAATTTCCAGCACAAATGGAGACTGTGCACATTTGGAAACTACAGGTGCATATCCAGCTGAAAATGAAGTTGTTGCTGAAGCAACCCAATGGGAACAACGCATAGAAGACATTCTTACCGCCTGTAAAACTCTGAAACAAAGCGAGTCATTCCTATCTGACTTTAGTTCTTTAACTAGGGATAGTAGGCAAAAGTAATGTTTTTCATTTTATCCTTAAACAGTCGTTTACATTGGAAATTCCAGTACCGAAGTAGACGAGGAAAAGTCCAAGCAAAATACAGCTTTAGAACCCAGTGAAACTCCTGCAAGTTCTCAGGATATTATTCAGGCCACTCCATTGGAAGCTAATAGTTATCGCAACCGAAAAAGGTTCCGAAATAAAAACATTATGGTCCAAGCTTGCAGGTAAGTCCACCCATTTTTCTCGTTAATTTCAATTAACATTGGGACAATAGTTAATATATTTTAAATGTTTTGTGCAAGCAATGAGGCGTCCAACATTGGCGATGGAAGCGATTCGGAAATTCTTGATATGCATGCCATCGGTTTGCCGACCAAAAAGTGGAAAAAACACCGAAAAAATAGCGTAAAGTAGGTGTAGAAGAATTTGCCAAGTTACTAATTATTTATATTTTGCATGTGGATAATTAGGAAACGCGTTTGTTTTAGTAACGTTTCCGTTGCAAGAGCTGTTCGTTTGGGAAACCTTGATCAAAGTGAGACTCCAATATAGACGAGTCCGCAAACAGAAAAGCAAAACTTTTTTTAATTGAATTCTTAAAACTTTTTCATACTACCGCTTTAACTCTTTAATATTTGCGCTATCAATCGCTCGTTGTTTTAGCATTAGTTCAGAGGAACAGATTGACCGTTTGGGGCGTCTTGATGAGAGCAAGGTTTCTCTTCAGGAAAGTCCAAAATTATGGCAGGTGATTACGCCTTAAAATGTTAAAACCCAGTTCATTATTCTCTTAGTTTAATATTGGTATTAATTTTTTTGCAGGCTATCAAATCAACATGCGTTGTGCTTGGATAGTCTCGATAAGAGCGATATTTTGTTCGAGGAAACTCCAGAAAAACGCGTAAAAAATAATGGCAGGTTGGTTTCTATCTGATTTAACCAGAGTATTTCCCATTACCATTTACGCCTTTTATTACAATTTCCTCTATTCTTTTATACAAAAAGACAGTAATAAAATATCGGCGTTAAAAAAAAATTCAAAGTTTTTAGGACCCAAAATCTTGAGGCAAAATTGTTAACAAAAAAGTTTTCAACAAACTGCTTTTCTACTTTCAATGTTTTATACTGCATTTATTTATAGTTTTTCAAATGAAAATGCAGATAGTCCTGTTGAGAGCGACATTTCGCTGAAGCAACGTCCAAAGAATCACTCAAAACATAATGGCAGGCAAGTTTCTGTGTAAACATTTTAACAATTATTTACACACTTATGCTTTATATAGTTTGTCAAACAATCTCGACGACAGCGAGATTTTAATGAAGAAAAGTACGAAGAAATGGAAAAAAAGTAATTTCAGGTAATAGGAGTTGATGCAGTAATGTGTTTTGTCAATTAGAGATTTAATAATAAAAACATTTATTAACAGCCTCTTGAAGGAAGCGAACTGCGATGAACGTGATGAGATCGATATTTTACGACGGCGAAACCAGAATAATGCGAGGTGGGTTCCAGCTAAAACGCAATAAATAAAATAAATTAATAAAAAACTGCAATTTTTCATCTTTCAGCAGTCGTTCAGCAGATGTTAGCAATTCGGAACTCGCTGATGAGATCAAGATTTTACGGAGGAAACGTTCAAATAAGCATAAAAAAAATAAACTCTGGTAACTTTAAGCAAACATTGCATAGATAAATTAAAACAACTCTCTAACCTTGTAAATTCTCAAAGGAAAAAGCGCATTTTGGACGAAACCAAGACAACTGATGATGAGGAAATCGGGCAAAATACTGGACGCAGCGAAGCTGCGAAGCAAATAATGGATTCATGTGAATCAGCGGTTGAAACATCGATTTTAAACCCTTCCTCGGAGTCACTCAATAACAGCGAATCTAAGTAAGTGTGTTTATTTAAAGAGCGCGATTATAAGAGACAGAACCTATAAAACTAGAAAGCGCAAATCACAGTTTTCTGCCAGGATCGAAACAACCGTAAAAGTAAATTGAAATGTTTTAAATTTTTCCAGCTGCGAAGGTGAAAGCCACAAATCAGAGCATCAAAAACGAGCTAAGCGGAAAATACAATCTGAAGCTGATGAAGAGAATGACCAAGCAAGCAACACTATCAGGAAAAAAGCTAAAAAAAAACTGTCCACCGTAAAAAAACGACGGCTTTCCAGCGATGAGGAGGCGGATGAAGCCTCGGATCATTCCTACGGTAATAATCGTCGTAATTTTATACCAAAAGCAGAATTGTCGATGACTTCCACAGAAAATCAAAAAGGTCTTTTTTTGCAGAAGATGCCGATCCAAATGATTCCGATGCGGCTTTAAAAGTAAGCATTAAATGGGCACTAAAAATTCTATGAATTTCTCAGTTTTTTTTAGGGCTAAAGAGGTTCAATAGAGACTTCAAAGTCCCGCGGTTGCATAAGATCGTGGATCGTGCCTCCAACCCAACAGCAGATCAACGCGAACGGATCGCCGAGAAAGGGATTGAAGTGAAAACTGGCAAGTTTTCAAGCGCTGAAGACCAACAAATCCAGGAAAACTGGCTGAATTTCATACAAGTACTGTGTTTTTCTGCGTCTTTACATTCTGTTTGTTATACAGCGTCATTTTTAGGTTTTTAGACTGAAAAATCAACCGCAGAAGTTTTTCTGTTTGCATGCTAAACGAGTTACCCCCGAAGCGAAGAGGAATTTCCTTTTTTATTTGGCGCGCGGTCTTCATAATAGAACGCCCTATTGTGTGTTCAAACGATTCAAGTTGCTCATGGATCGCGTAACTAAAGGACGGTGAGTTGAATACTAAATATTTAATAAACAAAGGAAAATCTGAGTTTTTTAGATTCTCTCAAGAGGAAGACGATTTCATTCTGAAGGCAATGGAGGAGAAACCGAAGATGTCGGTAACCGAAGTGGCAAAGCACTTGCACAGATCCTTACTTGCCGTGTCCTGTCGGATAGGCAAGCTAAAGACCACCTATTCAAGGAAAATCAAATGGAGTGGCAGAAATGCGGCTTCTTATATCAAGTATCTACTGGAAGCAACGGATATAGATGAGAAAGACATCGGTTTGCTCAAGAACAGACAGATCACTGCAGAAGAATGGGCAAAACTATCGGAAAAGCTGGACAACGTTCCTGTGCGCATTTTAAAACCTGTGTGGCTTAACTTTTTGCATCCTGCTTTGTTCATCCCAGGCAATTCGTGTGATTTAGGCGCGATCAAATGGAAACTTGCCAAAAGGTAAACCATTCAGACAACCGTTGATGCCGTATTAACGATTTAATTCTTGTCTGAAGGCTTCATAAGAACAACGAGACTGAGTGGTCTTGCATCGATTGGACAAAGTACGTGGCGCGATTCGAAGGATTCACTTCATTGAAGCTCTATACACTTGTGAAGCAACTTATAAAGACTCACGTTCCTGAAAAAAAGCAACCTGATCTACCAAGTAAGTGATTGACTAAAAGTTCGAGTTTTTGGCGAAAAATCATTAATTTTCTGTTCCGTTTTTACTCATTGCAGGATCCCTTAAGTATCTAATGAAAAATAAGTTGCGCATCGCTGCACAACCGTTAAAGCTTTTGTATAAAATCAAGTACAGGAATGGAGAGATTCAGGATATGAGACTAAGCGACCTCTAATAAAAAGCCGTTCGTTTAATTCGGTTCTGTAAACTATTTTGTTTACTGGTACAGCTTTGCATGTTTTTAACTGTTCAATTGATGAAACGACCCATTGGATTCTGCTAGAACATATTTTTATCCCCTCGTTGAAAATGTACTTTTGTTTCGACATGAATTAGTGGCAAACACTTGCAACTAATTATCAGTCTCTTTAAACTTTGTATCAAATCTTAATAAATATGTAGTTAACCATTGAACTTTTTTTGATCAAATTTTCTTGTTTATTTCTAGCCACTATCATTAAGATAAGTGCCTGATTCAGCACAATTATTAGAATTGAACACATACAGAAGACTTCATAAATAGTTTTTGGATAAGGATTTTTTGATTACAACGGGGATTGAATATGCGGCATAAAAGCCCGATTAAACACTTGAATTGTGGGGGGGGGGCTTGAAAGGTCATTGTACATAGAAAAGCAGTGCGTTTGTTATTGAAACTCTTTTAACAATTTTACAAGATCATCAGAGATTAAAAAAATAACTAATAAATAGCGCCATGAGGGACTATAATGAGCTCCTTAACATTAACGTGTTCTGGAGTCGCTAAAACGTAAAAAGCTGAATCGGCCACATCTTCCGTTGATATTAATTTCTGCGACGAGTTTACATGGGCTAGTTTCTTCAGTTGTTCCGCTGGAAACGCTGCTTGGTTGAACTCAGTGTCGACGGCTCCAGGACTAATACTAGTGATTTTTATGGGCAGTTTCTCCCGGTTGATTTCCAATCTGACCGACTCAGTTAGGGCTCTGAGCGCAAATTTGCTCGCAGGATACACACTAA